TCCATCCTTCAGATCTGTGTTTCCTGAGCTCCTGGTCAGATTATGTTGTCAGGATATTGGATGTGGGGCAAGCAACATTCCCCATAGTGTTCCTTCATCCTGGATGGACCTATTAGACCAACAGCTGAAGAAAAAATTCTGCGGGTCCACAATAAAGGAGGAGAGCGGCAGAGGAGCTGGATTAGCTGAGCTGCTCTTGTAGAGAAAGTTCACATGGACATGATGGGCTGAATAGCCTTCTGTGGTTCTGCAATTGATCATTCAATTAGATTCTACATTCTGGAGACCACAGCAATGGAACAATAACTTAGCGGCTGGAACCAAACGCATTAGAATTGGCGCACAGCTTTTAACCATTTGGCACCTTCCAGGATGAGTCTTTATCTGCGGATAGGCAGAGCTTATCTTGTCATGTCATTTAGCTCTTTCTTATGCTTGTGCATCCCCAGTTCTTTCAGTTTTTATTTAATATTTAATTCACTGCCACATCTCTTCTAGGCATGCCCACCTTGAAGAAGTTCTGCTCCTCTCTCCGATGCGATTTCTTTTCCAATCTTTTTTATTGCCTACCGACATTAATTTCACTGTCACTCCTGGTGTTTGACCAGGTATTTGCCAAAACTGATTTCCCCAGCTATATCACATTCCTCAGTGACTGGCTCCAGCTCAGACTCACCCCCATGTGGATTCCAACTGAAGTTTCATCCCTTGTGCTTGTAATCCAGCCAGGATCACAGATATCTCTGCAATGCTCAATGTTCCACAGACAGCTGCTCTCGCCGCATCCTGAGATCCATGCTCAGTGCCATGGGGCATCACAGGCACACTCTCAACCTTTCTCTCCAACAGCATCGCAACATGCTAGCTCAGGGCTGCACCACTCTGCAGTTCCAATTCATACTCCAGCTCATTCGTCGTGCTAACAAGAAACTGTTTCTTTTCCTTTCAGGCATCAAGGCCCACACAATGCAACAACTCAGAGATAGCCATGGCCCTTTGGAACCTTCCTCTCCACCCCTTCCCTCTGACTCCATCCTCTCCCCCAATCCCACCTCCTGTCGGGTATTCCCCATCCCTGCTAACCTTCCGTTCTCCGATGCTGAACGTTCTATACTCAGCAAATGTTTCAGTTTTATCCCTTTGCTTCCCCACCTTAATGAATTTCAGGCACAACATAACTCTTCTTCCATCGTCTTCCCCTCCATGCCCATACCTTTGGACAAGAGTTCTCTCCCCTCCCACAGACCCCTTCACTCAGCTCCCTCCACCTGGACTTCTGCCTCTGGCCTTTTACCTGCACTCGATCTGTTCATTGAGAACTGCCGACATGACATTGGTCGCCTCAATTTCTCTGACCCCCTCACCCAATCCAACCTGTCTCCCTCTGAACTGACTGCGCTCCATACACTTAGATCCAACCCTGACATTGTTAAAAAAAAGAGTTCTGAGGAAGGGTCACTGGACCCCAAACGTTAACTTTGATTTTGCTTTGCAGATGCTGCCAGACCTGAAGAGCTTTTCCAGCAACTTCTGCTTATGTTTCTTGTACTAACTGTTTTGCACAGCCATGTTAAAGAAGTAAATTGTTCCTGTTCACAGCAGCAATGTAGACGGAAATCTTACATTTTTTAATGTGTCCTGAGTGGTCACAGTACTGGAATGTTAACTCTGTCTCTCTCTCTCTCTCTCTATTGATGCTGCCTGACCTGCTGAGCATTTCCAACATGTTCTGTTTTTATTTTGGAGAAAAGGTTAATTGTCTTATTATAATGACTCTGTTGGAGTCTGTTGGACTCTGCTGAGTGCCTGTCATAGCTCTGCTACTCCCTGTAAAGCATCTCCGCTGCTAGACCCAGCGCCAACATTCCTTCTCTTGCCCCCTTGGCTTTCCTCCGATCATAACTGGATGTTTCACTACAACACATTCTGCTCGCATCTGCACATTTGAAGCCTGGATCTTATCATAAATTTATCGTTTTGCAGACGATTGCTGCTTCTTTTCCTCCACATATGCATTATGCTAACCTGCCTCACATGTCTTCACAACCTGGCTAATACAGACATGGACTTTTCTGAAGAAGGATCTAGGCCCGAAACATCAGCCTTCCTGCTCCTCTGATGCTGCTTGGCCTGCTGTGTTCATCCACCTCTACACCTTGTTATCTCAGATTCTCCAGCATCTGCAGTTCCGACTATCTCTGGACTACAGCCTGATTGATATTACTGATACTCCTTGTGGGAGACTGGAAAGAGCCAAAAGCAAGAGGTTGGGGGCCACGGTGACCTTGACAATTTGCCATTAATATTAATACTTTGATGAAGGGACCAAGTGTTCTGCAGCTAAACTTGCTGAAGATACAAAAGGGAACCCAAGCTGTGAGAACGACACAACAGACAAAACTTTTTGCCTCAACTAAAGTGCTGAAGGCCTACTCCCTGGGAAGCAGGAACCAAATATACTTTCAGATCACAAACTCCAAGGCTAAACTGACTAAAGTTGAGATCATGTCAGGAGTGAACCCAGAATTGATAAGTAGACAGGCTTCCTGTCAAATTAAAGTCAGTGAGGGTGAGAATGGGAGTGGGTTAGCTGATGTAAGGGACTTATTTAGATATCCCATCGCTGAAACTGCTGGCAGTCATAAAGGAGAGATCTGCTGCTTGGGCCATAACCTTCCACTGCCTCAGAGGGAAAGAGGATCTCACAGGTGAGCTGAAGGCCTGGTATCTGTGGCAGGGCTGTCTCAATATCTTCAGTGATGCCAACTTGATCGAATGTTGAAGGCAATGGGGAATAGAATGAGGTCTTCTTCCTGGAAGAGGGCACCATCACTTCAGAACCCAAAGTGAGTCACTGGAGTACCTTTGTCAATTATTTTTCCCTGGAATTCCTTTTATTCCTGGTGTCAGATGAAGTGTGATTTGAGGTGGTGAAATATTAAGGTGGCATGGTGGCTCGGTGGTTAGCACTGCTGCCTCACCACGTCAGGGACCCAGGTTCGATTCTACCCTTGGCCGACTGTCTGTGAGGAGTTTGCACATTCTCCCCGTGTCTGCATGGGTTTCCTCCCACAAGCCAAAGATGTGCAGGTTAGGTGGATTGGCCATGCTAAATTGCCCATAGTGTCCAGGGATGTTTAGGTTAGGTGGGTTAGACATGGGAAATGCAGGGGCAGGGGAATCAGTCTGGGTGGGAAGCTCTTCGGAGGAATGGTGTGGACTTGTTGGGATGAATGGCCTGTTCCCACACTGCAGGGATTCAATGATTCTACATCCTGTACCGAGAGTGCAATATCTGGACAGATATACTTTCTTCGTTGACAGCCAATGGTTAAATGTTCTTGGTTGTGTCTTTCCTACATGTGTTAATATGGGTTTCTAAGCCAAGTCCTTCAATCTGGGTCAGAGGGGCAAATTTGAAACTTTGATAAATCAAGAAATCATGGACCTTTGTGTCACATGGGTTCTTCATACTGACAAACATGGTTGTGCAGTGGGGAAGTGACAGCCAAGTGATATTATCGCTGGACTGTTAATCCAAAGACCCAGGTAATGTTCTGGGGACCAGGTTCGAATTCATCATGGAAGATGGTGGAATTTGAACTCAGAAAAAAAAGTTATTGGAATTAGAGTCCAATAATGACCATTAATCCATTGTCAATTATTGGGAAAAATCTATCTGGTTCACAATGTCCTTTCGGGAAGGAAACAGCCATACTTGCCTGGTTTGGCCTACATGTGACTCCAAACGTACAGCAATGTAGTTTACTTTTAATTGCCCACTGGGCAGTTGGGAAGGGCAGTAAATGATGGCCTACTTTGTGATGCTGACATCTTATGAATGATTACAGAGTTGGGACTCTTCTCCGTTCAGCATCACCTCTCTCCAGCTCCAGTTTCTCTGCGTCTGTCACCTCCCGTTGTTTCCCAGTGAAGTGGCTCTTGTCAGGGCCTCATCCACCTCAAGGTCCACACCTTCTGGAGGACAGTCTTACAGATAAGGCAATACACCACCACAATGACCAAAAACTCTCCAGGAGGGTGTTGCAGTCCAGGCCATTGGAATGCATCTTCTAAAACCCAAATGCCAGCTCAGTGGTTGCCCGAATGAACATATGGGATTGTTTGTATTGCCTCCGTGCCTCTGTCAGGGGGTGAATAACCATGTCCAGAGCAGATTTTTCTTGTTTCCTGGGATACAGTCATAGAGTCACACAGCACAGAAGCAGACCCTTCGGTCCAACCAGTCCATGCTGGCCATGTTTCCAAACTAAACTAGTCCCTCCTGCCTGCGCTTGGCCATTTCCCTCCAAACATTTTTTATTCATGTATTTATCTGAATGTCTTTTAAACATCATAACTATACCTGCATCCGTGACTATCCCTGGAAGTTCATTCCATACACAAATCACTCTCTGTGTAAAAAAATTGCGCACATGTCTTTTTTAAAATCTTAATCCCCTCACTTAAAAATATGCCTCCTAGTTTTGAAATCCCATGCCTTAGGGAAAATACACCTGCCAATAACCTTATCTATACCCCTCATGATTTTATAAACCTCAATAAAGGTTACCTTGCAACTTCCTATGCACTAGTGAAAAAGTCCCAGCCCATTCAGCCTTTCCTTGTAACTCAAACCCTCCATTCCCTGGTAAATATCTTCTGAATCCTTTCCAACGTAATAATGTCCTTACTATAATAGGGAGACAAAAACTGGATGCAGAACTCCATAAGAGGCCTCATCAATGTCTAGTACAGCCTTAACATCACATCCAAACTCCTATACACTCAAAGGAACCACCCATGCACTTTGGCATTGGTGTGAAGAGCTGAGGATGGGCTGTTAGATGATGAAGGAGGTATGAAAGCTGCCAGAACAGTGGGCACACAGGCAGTGGGAACTCCTGTTGTGATTCCTGATTGAAGGAGTGGAAGCCCTTTGTGTTGCTGCATCAGTCTGGCCAAGAAAACAGCACCTTGATAGCTAATTGATTACATACGTAGTTGCCATTGCAAAAATCCAAAAGCAAAATCCAATCCTGCAGTCTCTCCAAGATCACGTCTGTTAGGAGGTTGCTGGTGATCTGGCGTCTCAGTAATCTGCAGGACACAATGGGGTGCTGTTGTTTGTGAGATGTCAGCAATGTCTGCAGGTGAGCCTTGGAAAGAGCCAGAAATGAAGACCTTCCCTGTCACAGTAATTTTGATGGTCACTGGCAGGTCATGATTGACTAGCGCTGTGAGGAGTGAAGCCTTAACCAATAAGGTCACAGATAACCTGATGACTAGGTCACAGTCCTCTCCAGTTAGCTCTGCCTCTGCTGGTTGGTTTTGTACTGAGGTTTTTGGCTTCTGCAGAACCTGCACATAATTCAGGCTGACTCTTCAATGTCATAATGAGACAAAGTTACATTGTCAGGACCTGCCCCCCTTTTCTCTTCTGTGCCCTCCTGCTGCTTGAAGTTCTGCCCTTCCCTGTGAGTGGGGTAGGGGAGAGGTGTCACCCCTCCATTAACTCTTGGTCCACTGTCTGTCATTCTGAAACTTTCTTTTGGATAAGTGACAGCCCATTGGCGCCTGCTTTTCTACTTTTTGGAGAGGCAGGGAGGTGTGTTGCCATTCAGTGCCTGAGCAATGAGTGCCCACTAACCCTACCACCTGTGCAGTGTTAAGGGCATCTCCTTTGCAAACAATGAGTTGCCGTTTGCCATTATGACCCCATTGTGTGACCTGGGGTAGCCTCCACCTTACTACAGCTGATCAAAATTGGGTCAAAACTGAAATCTATGTCTCCCCCACTTCAAACATCCAACCTTCCCCTTAAAACAAACTCTTAAATAGTTTCTCATCTAAGTTCATTGGGGTCAATGAGAGGAGAAGTGGTATCCTTGTGCTGCCCTCCCCCACTGCAATGAACTATGTCTGTGGTTGGAATGGTGTCTTGAAACTGACAAGCCATTCAGCACTCTACCTCCTTTCCTGACCAGACTCTGAAAATTCAACAAAGAATCTGCAAAGGGGTATAAATAGATAAAGACAAATTTGGCAGATGAAATATTTTCTGGGAAAATGTGATATTATCCACTTTAGTAAGAACAATGGAAAAGCAAAGATCTTCTTTTCAATGGAGAGAGTTTGCAGCATACTACAGGACTGAGGCCACCCTTGTACAACAAGCAGACAGTGTTAGGATGCAGCTAAAAGGAAATTAAAATGTTGGCCTTTATTGCAAAGAGAATAGGTGTATAAAAGTAGGGATGCCTTGTTACAACTGTACAGAGCATTGGTCTCACTGCACTGACAGTATTGTGTACAGCTTTGGTCTCCTTATTTACATAAGGATGTTCTGTTAGTTGAGGCAGTTCAGAGAAAGTTCAGTGGATTAACTCCTGGGATGAAAGTATTACCCCATGTGGAAATGTTGCCCAGATTGGAGTATACATGTTAGGACAAGGAAGTTGAAGTGTTGAATCACATAAGATTCTTAGGACAAAGCAAATGCTGAGAAGATGTTTCTTCTACTGGATGAAACTAGAATTAGAAGAAACATTGCTATTTAATGCTAAACACTTGATTTATGTCTAAAGTCTGCTTTGCCTCTGGTGTGAGTTTTATTCAATTCACACCATGTTCATTTCCAAATTCCAAGCTTTATAATTCAAACCCCATTCCAAGGCTTGAGCATATAATTCAGGTTGACTCTTCAATGTAAGAGTTATATTGTCAGAGTTAATGTCATTTGAATGAGATGAGAAATGTTAGCTAAGTATGCTTGTAAAGTATGAGATATGAAGAGCAGAGTAATTCTCAAAATGTCCTGTCCCACATTTCTCCCCTCAACTACCATGTGTTAAGTGTTATTTAACCCTTCCCATGGATTGCCACCTTGCTGTGGTGGAGCGGCCTGAGCTTTCCATTGATCCCGAGAGTGATGCTGTCAGGAGTTCTCACCCCCTGTCAGGGCCACCCATGATGCTAAGGACAGGGGAGAAACCAGACAAAAGCACAATCCAAAACAAGCCCTCAATGGTGATCCAGGCAGAAGATATCCATCTGCTACGACGGCAGATGAAGGCTGCAGCAATGGGGAGATCCCTCATTGTCAAGCTCTCCCTACCACTGGAACTGGAACTACTTCTGTAAAGGACCATGTTCCTGCTAATGTATAACAGCATTCCCTCATTAAAAGATGTCCAGCACAAGGCACCGATCCAGGAGTTCATTTGTTTAATTTGCTGCTTATGGGTCTTGCTGTGCACAGTTTGGTTGTAAAACACTTTGCAATGCCCAGAAAGCATGACTCCTACAAAAGTACAAGTTTGCTTCATGTGCATTATAGTACATACATTATTGTATCATTTTGCTGATGTTTTTCTCCTGTTTTAATGCTCCCTATGGAAACACTCAAAAGAGTTTCATGAAGCATTTGTTTCCAGTTACAGAACAGCTCTCTGTTTCACATGATTTCAATTGAAAAAAAACACTTTGTCAAAAACACAACCCTGACACAGAATCCACATGTAATAGGCTTGAATGAGAAGCCACTTAACCTGGCTGACCTCACCATTTCAATTCAGCATCGGTTGAAACCATATAGAAAATTTAATACACCATTGTTCACAGCATCACAGAATGATTCCTTGATAAAGATTAGGTAAACTTGTTTTTTGGCCACAGAAGAAGGTCATCAGGTCGGTGAGAGAATTGGTCAGACGGCATCCATGGTGAGAGAGCAAAACTAATGTTTTGAGTCTTCATCAGAGCTCTGATGAAGAGTCATCTAGACTTGAAAAGTTAGCTTGCTGTTTCTCCATGGATGCAGTCTGACCCGCTGTGATCTCCAGCATTTGTTTGTTCAGTATAGATTCCAGCATCTGCAGTAATTTCCTTCTACCTGTGATAGAATTGTTTGTTTAATATAGAGGATTGCACCAAATAAACTAGGATTGTTCCAGCATCAGCCATTTTTCCTAGTTGTTTGATAGTTGATATGTTGGAATTTTGTGTCTCTATGCAACAAATAATTTATTTTGGATTGGGTATGCAATGATCCATCATTGATCATAGGAAAACAGCAAATTTACACAACTGGATTTTCAGTCTAAACTTGTTTTCAAAGGTTCTATACAATAAAACTGCTATCATTTTATTTAAAAACATAACAATTTAAGTTTGTAATGTTACTTTCAAAGTGTATACCAATTAAGATTGTTGTTATGAGATCTCTGAATATACTTATGTATTAGAAAAGTTGTATTTCTTAAAAAAACAATACTGCAAATATTGGTAATCTGAAATGAAAGCAGAAAATTCTGAAGAAATTCAGCAGGTCTAGTGGAGAAAGAAATTAAATTACTGCTTTGATTCTGAGATGAATCGTCTTTGAAGAAGTCAGGGTGAACTCAAAATGTTAACTCTATTTCTCACTCCATAGATGCTGCCAGACCTGCTGAGTTTCTCCAGCATTCTCTGTAAATATACTTCTATGCTGAGCTTTAAGCTAGTACAAAAGTATTCAATTATTAACCATTGAAGTATTGACGTTCTGCTGACATGGGATACAATTTCTTAAAATAATTATAATTATGTCACAGAATGAGTTGGGATTTTTGTGCCCAAACTGTTCTAAGATCCTTGCAGCATAAAATGAATTATTTCAATAAGTAGACGTTTGCTTAAACTTAGCAACCTAAGAGAATTCATAAGGTCAATATTTGAATGTCGCAAGGGGATGGCATCTCACTGAGTCCAAATATCACACAGATAAAAACTAACAAACTAGATAATGTTCAAGGAGATCGCTTTCATTGGTTCATATGATACCTCCTATGTACTTTTCTGCAAGGTCACTTGGAAAATATTTAGGAGATTTTGTAAAGATATTAAACTTCCAGCAATGCATCTTTTTTTTTGTCCATTTTCTGTGCAACACACATTTGATTGCTTAAGTTGGAAATCCTAAATTCAATATTGTGCAAAGCTTTGGGCCAAAAATTAGTCCAGTTGAATAGTTCTACCTGAAAAATGACAGAATCCTTGCACTTTTCAAATGCTGTATATTTCTAACCTTAATAAATTTTCCTGACTATTATTTCTGTCCATACAGTTCAATACAACACCATTTGATGCAATTGCTAATCCATTTGTTTTAAATAAAGGGGGAGTGTTAAAATTGGCAACTGAAACTAGTCAGCTTAATTTTGGTGATGAAATATTTAGAGACAATAATGTAGAATAAAATGAATTGGCATTTTGGAAACATATCAGCTCATAGATGAAAGTCAGTGCGGTGTTTTTAAAGGCGAGCTCTGTTTAACTAGATTGCATTCTTTAACATTTCTAAAAGGAGAGACAAGTTGAAGCTTTTTGTCTTCCATTTTTTAGGATTATCATGCAAGAAACAGACTTGTATAAAGGGACACTAATTTATATGGCTTATTAGGAGGGCACTGCATGGAGGTTTAGCAGAAACAGTTCATTGTCGATCTTAATTTGTAGAGCAGGCAAGTAGATTCTGATTGGTCAGGATGTTGCCATGGGAATGTAGCAGAGATTGGCAGGCTCCATCACTCTTTGTTCATGAAAAAGATATAAAGTATGCACACATTCCTTTTGCCCACAAAACGCAATATACTGTATATTATTGCATATAGCTTCGGGCACACTTCAAACTCCACTGATGATCTTAAAGTCGTTTCCAGTGTAACTTTTAGCACAGTCTGGATTATTTAATACATATTTCCAATAGCAGAGTAATGTCTAATGATGGGCATTGCAAGCAAGAGCTATGAGCACAATTGTCATTCGGCCCGTTGTGATGTTTAATACAGTCCACCAGTCATATGGCCTTCACACCTGCAGGGAAACTCATTTATCACATTACTCATTTGTGTAGCAAGCAAAACATCTTTTTATTAGTAGAAAGTTTGTCTTGCACTATTATTCCTTTTGGCATCCTATTCTTGCCAGACTCTTGGTCTGTACTTGCTTAAACTCTTTTACATTTCTAATGTTCTTCAGTTCCAAAGAGAGGCCACAACCTAAAATGTTAACTGTGTTTTTCTCTGTCCGTAGAAGTTGCCTGACCTGCTGAGTGTTTC